CTCAAAACCTTAGGGCATGTGCAATGCTTAGTTCTTAAATATAAAATTATTAAAACACACACCTTCTCTTCCTTTTACTCAACTTTTTACTTTTTCTTTCATCATTTTACTCAATTTTTATTAATTTTATATTTAAATACTCTCTCATCATTTTAAGAACACTCTTCAAAAGTTCTTATTTAAAAACACTCTTTTTCCTTTTACTCAACTTTTATTAATTTTATATTTAAACACACCCACTATCTTCTCTCTTTACTCAAATTTTATTAATTTTATATTCAATACACCTCACAAAAACACTCTCTTTCTTTTTTTTACTCAAATTTTAATAATTTTATATTTTAAGAACATGTTTAAAACCATTGCACATGTCCTTAGATTCGGCCTACGAAGAAGTGACGTGAGCAAAAATCTTACCAATAAGCTCAACCACCATATAAAAAAATAATTTACACCGAGAAGAAGTCCACACGTCAAGCCTTTGATACTCGTTTATTGATTAATTTATGTAATTTTGACGTAATAATATTTTTGATATCATCATATATAGGTTAAAATTTATTTTTGCCCACCAAATTATAGACTGGTTATGTCAGTACATATATTTAAGAGTTCGATTCAGTTTCGGTTCTTTTTTTTTTTTTAAACTTTTTTGTTTATAAAATATAGTATTCGTGACCAAAGAAAATATAGTAAAAATGTTACAAGGCTGTGTTTTTTCGGGCTTTTAAATTAGAACTTTTAACAAATTAATTATATAATAATTTGAAGTTTATAAGATATAAAAAATTATTCGGTTAATATTCTTTTTAGTTCATATCAACTTTGGCTTTGGTTTATATGGATATATAACAAGATGATAAGGAATCATTATTGGATTTTTATTTTGGTATGGTTTAAGTTATTTTTGTACACCGATTCAGTCGGATCAGATACTATGACATAGAAATATAGTTGGTAGTTTGTATTACTAATGCCATCGTGTCATAATCTTTAGGGTGCATGTGCGAATTGTTAAAAAGATTACATGTATGAAAAAATCATACAAATGTTTTTTCTTACAAAAAAAAGTCTGAAATCAAAGTATATAGTATTTTTTTTTCCCGGCAAAAAAAATCAAAGTATATATATACCCATGTATCTATGTACTATAATACAATTATGCTTTACTTAATCTAATTTTCTAGATGTGGGCCAATATAGTTTTCATTAACAAATAATATGGTCATGCTTATTTAAAAAAAACATAAATAATAATTGAAACTATTTAAAGAGAAGAAGTAAACAGTTTTGTAATGCACACATGTAATATTTATTTTATGACTTAAAAGGATTCTAAAGAATTCCAATGCATGACTCTTTTTAAGGAGGCCTCTTTTAAAGCAATCCACCAAATGTGATTATTCTTTCCAGGTTAAAGAGCTTTTTGCGTGCACAATCACTAGTCACTAGTCTCCTCTTTATTTTTTGTATTATAAATTTAATTACATTAAACGCTTAAGACATTATGATTAGTACTTACTCATGCTACGCACCAATAATATTTTGGGTAGACATAGTATTGCATATTAAATATGCATTGCATGTAAATCACTAATTTATTATTCTCTTTGTGTTCATGTGGATTGAGTTAAGAAAGGGACAAAATAGGGTTCAGAGAAAACGGTGCGATGGGAGAATCCAATGTGGGACTTAAGGCCTTGTTTGGTTCCTTTACGCGACAGCGACCAATCTCGTGTTTTTTTTCTTCTAAAGAGGTTAAAATCGACAACGTTTTCCAATATTATATAATCCTTGTGAACAAGCTTTGAAATTGATTATTCAACAAAAAAAGTTATTTACATCTAATATCAACCACAAAGTTAAAAATTAAAGATTGTATAATATGGATGCTAATGTCACGAAAGAGTAGTTTATAGTTTAATTTACATTAGCAATCGAATGTGCAACCCAAATTTTCTAATTTTCTACTTCTAAAGAGTCAATCATTCAAAAATGTGGAGCAGATGAGTCCATGGCCGTTTTTTATTGAACCTATAAAAGTTCAGCTCTTAGATTATTATAAATTACGCTTGATCATCATTTGAATAAAGTATATAGTATTTTATTTATAAAAAGAGAATGTGGTGCAGAAGTTTTGTACAGAAATTTGTTTCTATAAACAGTGATCAAATATTATGTTGGTATCGTTTGGAAGTAGTGCGTATTAGACATGTTTAAGGATGTTAAATATGGATAATTACCCAACGGCACCCTAAACCTTGAAAAAAATTCAAACCCATAACCCTATCCCTTTTGTATAAAAAAAATGATGAGGGCTCAAAACGGACAGATACACAAATTCAAATAAAGTGTATTTTATTGAATTTAGGATACCCGTAAGATTTTTAAAATAAATAAATAAATAATCTTAAAATGATTTTATAATGAAGTATTTCAAATTTTATTTTCTAATTTAAAAAATCATTGAATAAACGTCTTCATTATGCTAATTTCGGAAATAATATTGGACTACTT